AGGTGTGCACCACTGTGTCTGGCTACCCAAGTAGCTTTTAAAGACAAATGCACAAATAAAGAGTCTGTAAGAGTTCATTATAGAACTCCCTTCTTACAATTGCTCCACAGCAGTTGGAAAAAAAAAATTAACAAAAAACTGGGGAAAACGGGTTAAGCATTGTATGGGAGGCTTGGATTAAACATTACCTGGAAATATGAAATTACATTAAAAATCTAAAAATTATTTTAAACGATAATAAATATGTAAAATCGGATCACACGGAAATATAAAATAACGTGGACAGGAAGGAAAATTAGGCCAAATATACAACGAGGCAAAATGATCGAGAGTGGAGGCGGAGCGTGAGACATGTAAAGGATGTCAGTATTCCTTGGCAGGTTTTTAATTTTTCCTACAATTGTACTTTAGTTCACGATTTCAACAAAAGGAAGGGCTTACATATCCTCTCTAGGTCACGGAGAGCGCAGTGATTGGGGGGTGGGGTGGCTAAATGGCAGGCCGTCCACCTGTTGCTTACCAGGCACAGTGGGCATGGAGAGGCTGGGGCCCCTGCAGGACATCGGCTCCCAAGGCCACAGCCCCGGCTGCAGCTCGGGCTTTTGGAGTCAGGCAGCCTGGGGACCACACCCTCCTGGGCAGCGAGGTTGAGATGGATGCATGTAACCATCTGGTAAGAACAGCCGGCCCCCAGCAGGAGCCCCACGCACCTCCTCTTGGGGTTGATGTCCTTAGCACAACTATACCTCAGGGTACCCGGAGGAGGGGACTGGGAAGGAGAAGGTTGGACCTTAATTGGCCCTTCCTCCTACAACTGGGGCTTCTGGGACTTGTCCTTCTGGGACCACCAATRTCCTCCTCCAGTTGGTGGCCTGTGAAAGGACGTCGGACTCTCTAGCCCGGAGGAGCAGCTGCCATAGCCAGAGGCAGCAGGCCCTGCTCGGGTACAGCCACCTCCTGCAGGTTCCCCGGGAGCTCCAAAGCCCACCCCCAGGGACCCCGCAATCCCGTGGTTGATGGCACAGYCTCCTGTGCCACTCCTCTGTGGAGGAGGAAGCCAGGGAGCCACTGGACCCGGGTCCTTGAGGGTAACAAGCAGCAGCAGCCTGGCATGCTGCGGGTCTGCTGGGCTGCCCTGGCCTCTGCAGGGAGACTGGCCGGGAAGCAAGACGCTGGGGGAGGTGGCCAGGCCACATGGAGCGGCCTTTTCCAGTCTGAGGCTGGTTCTCTCGCTGCCCAACAGGGGAATGATCATCTCAAAGGCCTGCTCTGGCTCTGATGCAATGAAACCCCCAGGAGGCGCAGGCAGGAGGAGGATSGCCATTTGAGAACCAGCCTCAGCCACTTGACGGTGTCTCAAAATGAAAAATAAAAAGGGCTGGGGAYGCGGCTCAGGGGTTAAGCGCCCCTGGGTTCCATCCCTGGTGCACACAAAACAACAGAGAAAGACAAGAACAAGGCAAGCCTCTCCCAGCCCCCAGCACATAAGAAATGCTGAGTAAGAGGCGCCTAAAAATGTCCTAAAGGAGAGGAAGCGCTTGGTCCAGGAGGCCCACGCTGCCCAGGCGGCCTCCTAGCCTGCGGTCCATCCCCACTTGTCCTGCGGACAGAACCCGGCCCAAGGCCAAGGCCATCCCAGAATCCTGCCCAGTTTCCCGCCTCCCCGCACCTGGAGGCCAGGTGACCAGCTGGGGCCAGTCAGACTTCAGCGCAGTTCTTCAGGCCCAGAAAGACCGGCTCTCGTGGTAACAGTGGGCAGTGAGGCTGGCACCACCTCCCCTCTCCCGTCCCCTCCCTGGGCCAAGGGGACTGAGGCTCCCAGGAGGAGGACCACAGGAGCCACACGCTAGGGGTGGCGGAGCGAAGGTGCAGGCGCCCCCGCCCCGAGTGGCCAAGCTAACGAGGGCAGCCGCTCACCCCCAGTTCCTCCTAGGGGTGGAGGACAGATCCCTGCCCGTGTCACTCCACCCAGGGGACCTTTCAGCCACCCTCAGCTGCAAGCAGGAAGGGACGTGGGCAGCGCCACCGGGGCCAGGCGGCGACACGCGTGTCGGTACCTATCATCGCGGTGACGTAGCCGGCCGCAGCACCTCCGCCAAGGTGGTCTCGTTGAGCGGGAGGCCCCCCGCAGAGGTGACCGCGAAGTTGTGCGTGACTCCATTGCGCAGGCCCAGGCGGCCGGTGAGCAGGGAGGCCCGGGAGGGCGAGCAGGTGGAGGCGGCTGCGTGGAAGTCCACAAACCTGCGGAGACAAGAAGGCCATCAGGATCCCCCGGCGAATCAGGTGGGGGAAGAGGCCATCTCAACTTCAGGAGTCAAGGGCTGTGGAAAAGTTTCAAGATCACCCAGTCATGGAGCAGGGAAGGACAGGAAGCCCAGAGGGGTAAGGCCACGAGTCCCAGGTCACACAGCGAATGCCCAACTATTGAATCCGATATATTCAGTCCATCCTCTTTCTTTGTAAATTCTATGTTTCAAAGTCACCTACTCACTAAACCCAAAAATCAATACTAGATGCTCTTTAAGGTCACTCCCACTTCGAGAGGCAGACCTGCAGATAATTTGAGTTGCCTGCTGTGCACATTCCCAGCTGAAGTGAAGCAAGGTGACCCTCAACCTTCTTAGTTCAGCTCAGGCTGTAAACAAGCATCCTGTTCTATTGAGGGCCACCATTTCTGCATGTTTGTGCATTTTGTTGGTAATTTCATGAGGCAAAATGTCACTCACCGGAAGCACTCAGGTGCTGTCTGGTGTTCCTAAGCCTCACATGTTTCTGCCAGGTGTCTGACAGAAAATGGGCCCTTTGGGGAAGCTTTGTTCGGGAATGAGCTGTAATGCTATCACCTGTGGGTTCAATGTGACTCAAAAACGTATGCATTAGGGCTGGGGCGTAGCTCAGTTGGTAGAGTGCTTGCCTACCAGCACGAAGCCCTGGGTTCAATCCCCAGCACCACAAAAGAAAAAAAAAATGTATGCATTAAATAAGGTGTCTCTGCACAGAAACCCAGTTACACCCTGATCCCCGGAGGGGCCCTCGGGCAGACACACAGGCGAGCCGGGACTCGGCATTCACTAGGAGTTCACTGTGACTTGGCAGATGGCAGCCACTGCCAACAACAAGAACTGTCCAGCCCCGCTTCAGACACTGTGGAGGAACACAGAAGAGCTCTGGCCCTGCCCTGCCCTAAGGAACACGCAGCCTCATTGGTGTTAGGGAACCACGTCTGTTGACCCTCGGCTCCAGAAGGGCATCGTGATCACAGGACAGGTTGCTCAAACAGGAAAAAAGATTTACCCATCAAACCAGCAAGACTCAGAAGACGGTGGACTCGCGCTGGGAAAGACCATCTTAACACGAGTCTTGAGCTCCTTGTATCTTTAGGGGTCAATGACTGATGACAGCCGATGGCTGGACACCTGGTGACTGGCATCAGCCTGGAAGAGGGATGAGTGAAGGGCCAGTCCACCAACACGAGCTGCTGTACAGATGACCAACAGCAGCAGTGGCTCCGGAAGCAAAGGCATTCGGTAGCAAGGAACAACAGGAGTGGGCGACGATGCCCGAGAGTCTGTAATCAGGACACCCCAAGGGCAAGGGGCAGTGGGAAATGGGGCAGGGATGTCCAGGGGCTGAGATGATGGAAAGAACACGGTGAAGCTTCAAGGGCTAGAGAAGGCTCCAGAGAGGAGGTGGGACGTGGACTGGCTGGTAAGAAACGGAGCTCCTACGAAGCCCTCGAAAACCCAAAGCACAGCATCCCCAGGGGAGGGAAGCAGGATGCTCTTATCTTTCGAAAGGAAACAATGGAAGAATAAACCAGAGGCTAATTTAAAAAAAAAAAAAAATGGTTTCCCATAGATGGGCAGGAGAAATGGCCTGGGGGGCGGGGAAGGTGAGAGGACGATGCTCTGGCTGTGCTGTTGGGTAGTGGGACGGTTACAGGGTATCCAGGTTTGATAGGTTAAAAATCAAAGCCAGGCACAGTGGCGCACACCTGAGATCACAGTGGCTCGGGAGGCTGAGGCAGGAGGATCACGAGTTCAGAGCCAGCCTCAGCAACAGTGAGGCACTCAGCAACTCAGGGAGACCCTGTCTCTAAATAAAATACAAAATAGGTCTGGGGGTGTGGCTCAGTGGTTGAATGCACCTGAGTTCAATCCCCAAGGACCCACTACCCCCCAAAAAGTAAAAGTAAATCACAAAGGAAAAACAAGAAGATCCTGTAATAAACAAAACTGAAACAAATGAGTCCTACTATGTAACACATTGCTAATAAGACTGCCCAGAGGGCCAGGCATGGTGGCACACGCCTGTAATCTCAGAGACTCAGGAGGCTGAGGCAGGAGAATCCCAAGTTCAAGGTCAGCCTCAGCAACTTGGCGGGACCCTGTCTCAAAATATGAAATAAAAAGGGCTGGGGATGTGGCTAGGTGGTTAAGCATCCCTGGGTACAATCTCCAGTATCCCCCACCTCCAAAAAGACTACCAAAGGAAAGAATCATTTCAAGTGATCTTAGCACACGTCAGTCTGTATACATACATCTAAGGACATAAGTTTTTAAAATTCCAAGAAAATCTTAAACCTCACTCAGTTGCTGTATCATCAGTAGAAATATTGGGATTTTAAAACTATTTCAGTTATATAGTAATGCAAATAAGCTATTTATTTATTTTAATCATTTGTGGTACAGGGGATAGAACCCAGGGCACTTTACCGCTGACCTACATCCTCAGACCTTTTAATTTCTTATTTTGAGACAGGGTCTCACGAAGTTGCCGAGGCCAGCCTTGAACTTGGCAATCCTCCTGCCTCAGCCTCCAGTTAGCTGGAATCACAGGTGTGTGCCACCACACCTGGCACCTGGCGGCAATTAAGAAACTACATAAATGTTTCTAACAGGAGCCAAGATTTTTAATGTAATCAAAGGTAAAAGAAGATACCAAAAAAGGGGGAAGAAACCCTAAAATGTAAAAAATGTCATTTTGAACCGGTGATTTTTAAAAAACATCTATTTCCTAGCTATACATTAATACCCAGTAGCCATTAACACACCTACACACCGCACTGTTTTCAAAACCATCCCACCATAAAAATAATCCAATTTATGTGGAGAAATACTTAATGCCAGCTTTGGGGAAGGGAAACACCAGGGAGTCTGGACCTAGCAGCCAGCTCGCAGGGCTCCTGCTGGCTAAATCTGGGGCAATCTGGGAACCAGAAGAATAATTATTATAAGGGATGAATGGATAAAAATCCGCAAGTTCATAATGACACTGAAAAGAAGTCACTTGTCCTGGTAGAGGAACACACGATCCTAACTTCCCACCCTAAAACTTCATAATTGAAGGGAAAGAATGAAGCATTGAGGCTGACCGTCTGCAATGACCCTCGGCCATCCCTGGGTGACAGGGGGAGACCCTCCTTCTCGGAAGGACAGCAGCCAGTCACAGGGAGGGACGCACGCTTGGCAAGACACCATTTTTGCAAAAATCTCCCCCATCGAATAATTGACAACTGGTGGCTGCCGGTGTTCACACTGTCACACCATGTCACCCTCGGGTCACTTATAAATTGGACAGAGCTGGCAATTATCTCCTTACAAAGTGATTAGATTCAGAGGCACTCATCACGGGCCCCCTGACCTTGTATGTCTCCTGATGGGATGCATTAGGAAGTTTAGAAGATCAAGGGTTTCTTGCCAAAAACAATTAAACTGAATCTAATCAAAATGCTGGACCTAATTTCCAGGTTACAGGAAATACAGATAATAGAACAGATTAAAGGACACCACAAGGAAGTCACTGAACAAAATTGGCACCTAGGCATCCCTACAAGACAACTGGTCTAGTCTCTTCCAAAAGTTGGCGTTGCTGAGTACTGTGGTACACGCCCGTAACCCCAGAGATGCGGGAGGCCGAGGCCGGAGGGTCTCGAGTTTGAGGCCAGCCTCAGCAATTTAGTGAGCTCCTGTCTCACAAGAAAATAAATAGGGCTGGGACGTGTCGTTCAGTAACGGAGTGCTTCCCTAACATGCACAAGGCCCTGGGCTCGGTCCCCAGCACCTCTCTCCCTCCCCCCCCACCCTCTCTTACACACACACACACACACACACACACACACACAATCTTGGGAAAAAAGGAATTGGAGGTGAGTAATATTCTATGTTAAAGGAAACTAAGAGACTAAACCAAATAAGCACATGATACTTAACTGGATCTCACTTCAAATAAACCAACAACACATTTGGGAGATAATTAAATAAATGCTAATGTGGACTGATACGAGAGAATTATTATTAACTTGAGGATAATAATGGTATTTATTATGGGCATGTGAAGAATGTTCTTGTTCCTTCTTTTTGGTACTGGGGACTGAACCCAGGGGTGCTCAACCACTAAGCTACATCCCCAGCCCTTTTAAAAATTCATTTTGAGACAGGGTCTTGCAAATTGTCCTGGCCGGCCTTGAACTTGGGATCCTCCTGCCTTGGCCTCTAGAAGAGCTGGGGTCACAGGAGTGTGCCCCTGCACCCAGGCCAGGATGCTCTTATTCATAAGCGATGCATGCTGCAGAGTTTGTAATGAAGGGCCATGGCGTCTGCCTCCTTCAAGTGATTCAGAGGGAAAAAAAAAAAATACCTAATTCATAGAGTTTACTCTAAGCAAAAACAGCAAAACGTTAACCATGGATGACTATGCTGGTGTTTATTTTACTATTCTTTTGGTTTTTCTTTATGTTTGAAATTTGTAACATTAAAAGGTTTTTTTCAAGTTATGGAGATCCAGAATCTAGAAGGCACGGGGCGATGATGGGGCGTGCTGGGCCTGCGGGGAAGGGGGAAGTGGCTGGAAACGCGGCGAGTCTCCCAAATCCTCAACACGTGTGGGAGCTTGGCAGCAAGTTCGGCCACCTCACGGGGCAGAAGGGGGGCGCAGGTCTGCAGGATGAGGCACAGGAGGCTGAAACCCGGCATGCACCACTCTCCACGGGGCTTCACCTATGCAAGTTCTCTGGTCCCCAGGACCCCTGTGAGCTAAACTCCTACGAGTCTCTAACATTCGCACACCCCTTAAAGATGCCCCAGAAAGATGCCCCAATCTGGTTAAAGCAAGAAGGACCCCAGGGCTCCTGCCCTTCACCATGACCTTCGCATCAGCAGAGGATGACTCCAGGCCAGCAGAGCAGATTCCTGCTTTTATGTTTTCTCTCTTTTCTTTCATTTCTTGTTTCTTTCTTAAAA